ACGAGATGAACGCACATGAACGCCACCACAAAGTCATTATTACGAGTGGGAAACTCAAAATTTTCTTTAAGCCCCGAGTTTCCGAGTTGGGGGCGTGTCAATGAGAAATATGGCGGTATCGAAGGATGCAACGTCTGTAGTTGACGGCAAATTTTTGTTTAAATTGATAGTTTAGTTGTCCTATAAACTTAAATTGGTCATGTTCTTGTTACGCAGCTGAAATCCAAGTAAAAAAAATGCAGACCCTGTTGTATTTTCTTGTAATTTATTAAAAGAAGGTACACCGCCATCTTGTGCCGACTAAACTGACTTGAACGCACCTGACGTCGTAATTACGACTTGTCAACTCGTAAGTACGAACGTCCCAGGAGGACTTGAACGCAGCATTAGAGAAACTGGGGGAGTGGCTTTATTGCGTCAGACATGTGTCACTTTGTTTGAAGCTGATTGGTCAAATTTCGGTTTGAGATCTCTAAACCAGAACATAACCTGCCCCAGAGCAGGTTGGCTGTGGAGTGTAAGTTACTAAGGCAATGAATGCCGCTAAAAGCCAAGCCACTTTCATGGTACCTAAAACCCAGGATTGGTGCAAACTAAACTGAAACTGACCTGGCTAGCCAGCTAATCTGGCTTCATGGTACAGCCCCCTGGTGCTGCGTTTGCGTGTGGAAGAACGGCCAAACCGCATAGAAAAAGCTGCGGTCATTCGTGTGGACAGGGCCTTAGAATGCAAGAAAATTTAAAACACTGTAACTTATATGTGATGTCCTGACAATTAACCATAGCAACAGTAGGCTGCTCAAACAATTTTAACAAATATATTACAAAAACTGTTTTATTCAAAAATTATGTTGATGGTAAGCTAACTGCACTAGGGATGCCTAAATACATTTTAGTTTAATGAACTTCAACAGAATTAGCCCAAAATTAGCCCTCTGAAGGCTTTATACAGACACTGAGTGAATCTGAGATAAATGTATTTGAACCTCATTTAAATGAACACAATTAACACTGTTAAATCAAATATTTCTGGCGACATTCTGCGGTGAGTTTAAGTTCTTTTTTGCATAAATAGTGGCTAGACAAACACAGATGAGGAACACAACACAGTCCACTACAGGAGAGAAACTAGTGTTAGATTATTGTCATCTTGACGACACTGAAATTGTCAGAAAGTGAACAAAAATATAGAAAAGGGAAAATGAACAGAGAACATGGGAAGAGCGTCAATGATATCTATGAAAATGACTTTGTTACAAAAGGTATATCTGGAAAAAGGACCACAGACAGTCACACAACGAGAATCCAGTCATCTGAATTTACAGGTACTGAGATTAATTAAGAATGTTTCATCACACAAACATAATTGCACAAATTTGATAAATCATCTAAAAGCCCAAACATTTGGTCAGTTTTCATGTTTTCAGTTGCTGTGAGCTGTGTTAAATGAATAAAATCATGTTTGTTGATGGTCAGGAAGTGATGGTGTGAAGATCAGAAGCTCCAGAGCAGCTGCTGTGTGTTCTTCTGCTGACTGCAGTCATAGTGCTGTGTGTCCACATCCATACAAAGAGCACAAACTGCACACAAGAGAGACAGCAGCTGCTAACACAGATCACCAACCTCACAGAAGAGAGAGACCACTTGAAATCAGAAAAAAATGAACTTCGGAAGTGTTTTGCAGGCAAGTTTCTTCAGTCTAACTGGTAACTTGCTCTGAAGCAGACTCAGTTTTTAAAGTGGAGAGAACTGGATCTGTTGTGTTGGGATCATGTGGCTAATGCTCGTATTGACCTTAGCCTTGTTTAAAATGATTAATAATAATTTAGGGATGTCAAATGAGTAGAATACAGTACAAAGTAAACAGACTACTTCACTGCTTAGTGAACACTAGTAAGATCAATTCAAAACACTGACAAAAACCTCCTTTTATGAAACAGGAATCATTCTGCAGGTCAATGTCTATTACAGTATACAGCAGACATAGAGGGAAAATTTCAGCAATAAGCTTTAAGAAAAGTTTGTTTTCATTTCACTGCTGTAAAGAGATCATGCAGTAGATGAAAAACACAAGAAAAGTTCAAAGACCAAATAGCTGATTATGAACACACAATCGAGTATACAGTCAGTTACTGTACAGTAATAAATAAATAATTAGCTTTATGGTATTGGTAATGACCAAATGTTGCATACTACAGCAGTTTCTTAGTCTTGTAAGGGAAACAGGTCAATTTAGCTCAAAGGGAATCATTTAAGATTTTAAAGGGAACTCCACCATTAATATGTAAGGGAATTAGGACAGAATCACTGTTTTACGGCAGATCACTGAGACGGCCAGCGAGTCAGTGAATGAGCCGTATGACATCAATTCTGCAATGGATATTTATATCCAAAATATAGTGAAAACACTATTAATTAGCATATGTAACAAGATCGGCAGTTTAAGACATTAACTTGTGAGCACAAAACACAAGATACTTCTCTTTTCAATATAAATAAGGCTTTATTGGATAAATCTAAGACATATAAACTAATCTAACACACGCATTCACACACAAGTTGCAGAAAGAGAGAAAGTGAGGAAATAATTAGTTTAAGAGAATGAAAATGTGAAATCCCAAGTTACAGCAATATGTGCCATTGTATAGATCTGAACAACCATCAATCACTTAATTAACCCTCACA